AAAGTCCAAAGTGTGCAGAAGACCAAGGCTAATCTTGCACTGAAGTGAAGAGAGGACTGAAGGGAAGATGAGCAGAATGTGCCTGGCACGTCCCCGTAGATATCCCATATTTCTCTTTCTTTTCCTCGGCACAAATGTCTTATGGCCTTCAGACTCTTTGTCCATTAGCACTAGAGATGTCTGGAGAAAAGCAGCAAAATAGTAGTCCCTTCTGTATCCTCAATAAAGTGGAAGAACCTGTTCTTTTTGAAAATGGACTTGTACATGAGAGAAATGTAGCACTTTTTCCACAGTTAAAATGAAACCAAAAAACCTAGTTGCCATGTACTTAACAATAATACTTATGGCTCCTACTACTAACAGGTATAAAACTCTGAACTCAATCCATTTGTAGGTAGCTAGACCTGGTCACCTGATCCTACATAAAAGGAGAAAAATATAAGTCAGGGGAGGTCATGATGGGTAGTCATGCCTCAGGCCTATAACTTTAGTAAAGGGTTTATCTTTGCCTTGAGCAAGCCCTGACCATTGTTCTTGTGCATCTAGGTTAACACACCTTTGAAATGCCAGAGGAATCCTTTATCAGACCCCTGGGAGGTACAACTACCCTCCAGGGAACCCATAACCCAATCCTCTACCTTGCTTTCTTCAACCTTCATTTAATATTCCTTAGGTTCCCTCCTTAAATCCAAAACTGCAAACTGTCAGTCTAGGAAGCATTTTTCTATCTGTTGGTACCTTGCTTCCAGGTATATCCTGTTTGGCTCAAATAAATTTTTATAAAAACTTTCTCAGGTGAGATCGTTCTTGTGTCAACAATAATGTGGACAGACTAAAATCATTATTTTCACTCATGCTTTCCCTACCTTACTTCCTCCAGCCTTTCTCTCCATTCATGTCTGCCCCTAAATTCTGGGTAGATCTGCCAAAGAACTAACACTTTCAGTGAGACAGACAACAGGAAAGTCAAGAGGTCATAAGGTTATAAAAAGGGATTAGCTCCATTCACCTGGTGTGGCTCAGTGAATGAGCATCGACCCATAGACCAAGAGGTTGCTGGTCCCACTCTTGGTCCTGGCACATGCCTGGGTTGCGGGCTCAATCCCCAGTAGGGAGCATGCAGGAGGCAGCCAATCAATGTTTCTCTCTCACATTGATGTTTCTATCTCCCCCTTCCTCTCTTTAAAAAAAAAAATCAATAAAACATTTTTTAGAAAAGAATTAGCTCCTACAACATCTTTTCTTACTTTTTTGTACTCTTTCTTGAGGTAGGTTGTCCCTCAGGAGTGACTAAGTTTCTGACACACCTCCTTGGCCACTTGTCTAGTTGAGATGCCCTTTGTAGCCAGAGTGACACTTTAGTCCAAGTCAGCAGCTTCGGGGGAGTCTCTGCCACAGAGGGTCCCATATCAAGAACTAGTGTCACCTCTCAGCAGCCTGGTCATTACCTAGATGATAATGGTTTGCAAGATAAGAAGTTTCTCCAACCCACAAGATAAACATCAGCCTATCACTATTATCCCAAATTCTACAGTAAGCAACTCATTCCTTTGAGACAGTCTTCCCTCTAGAAGTCTTCCTTACTTGGTTATAACCACAACGCCATGAAAGTAATACCACTGCCAGTAGAGTTGGAGCCAGTAATCCTGGATTTGTTAGAGGCTGGAATCTTAAGCAAGTTGCTAGTCTCCAGTGCCAACGGACCAGATATTAGAATAAACTAGGTGACTTATCAAGATTTCAAAATCCACCCTGGCCGGTGAGGATCAGTGGTTAGAGCATTGGCCCATGCACCAAAGGGTCGTGGGTTCGATTCCCAGTCAAAGGCACATAACTGGGTTGCAGATTCAATCCCCAGCTCCAGTCGGGATTGTGCAGGAGGTAACCAATTGATGTGTTGTGCAGGAGGTAACCAATTGTGTGTCTCTCACGTTGATGTTTCTCTCTCTCTCCCTTTCCTTTCCTCCCTTCCACTCTCTCTAGAAATCAATGAGAAAATATCCTCTGGTGAGGATTAACAAAAATTAAAAATAAATAAAAGATTTCAGAAACCTGAGTCCTATCTATGGAGTCAATTTTTGGAAATAAAACATGGGGAATCTGGTAAGTCTTGTGCACTTCTCATCTATAAATCTGTATCTAGTTGGTCTATAACTATGCCAATAACAAGATGAAACTTTATTATCCTATACTTCAGATATAAAGATAGACCATATGAGAACCATATGTTCTTCCTGGGTGAAATGTTTCCAGTTTGTAACAAGTGCACTGGTTCGGCAAGAAAGAACATGTGGACAAGTGAAGCCATAGCTTTGAGCTCCATCAGAAAGTATGTCACAGCAAAACTCATTACAGCTAGTTATTTCACAAATGTGTTCACAAAAAAAAAAAACATATTGAGGCAGAAGAGTGGTTGTGCATACTCTATAACCACTTCCAGAAAAACAACTCAGGCACTAAAGGATCAGGGTGTACACTGGCAGTTTCTTGTTTCTTGACAAAATCTGTAGGATTGATTCCTAGAATTGCTGTAAGAGATACCAAGTGGCTTCAGAAACATTATTGTCAAGAAACTTAAGGATATAGGGATTTGACGGATCATTCTGTTTAACACTGTATTTTAAGTAAGGGCAGAGGAACCCTGGCCGGTTTGGCTCAGCGGTTAGAGCGTCAGCCTGCGGCCCACAGAGACCGGGGTTCGGTTCCCGCTAAGGGCATGTACCTTGGCTGCAGTTTGTCCCCGGCCCTGGTTGGGTCATGCAGGTGGTGGCCACTCGATGTGTCCCTTTCATGCTGTTTCTCTCTCTTCCTCTCTCTCCCTCCCACTCTATCTGAATAAAAAATGGAAAAATGTCCTCGGGTGAGGATTAAAAAATAATAATAATAATAAGGGCAGAGGAGAGAAATAGTTTTAAAAGATTACAGATCTGCCCTGGCCAATGTGGCTCAGTGGTTAGAGTGTCAGCCCGCAGAATGAAGAAGGGTCAGGGGTTCGATTCTGGTCAAGGGCACATACCTGGGTTGCAGGTTTGATCCCCAGCTCTGGTCGTGCGGGAGGCAACCAATCAATGTATCTCTTTCACATCAATGTTTCTTTTTCTCTTCCCTTTATCCTTCCCTTCCACTCTCTCTAAAAACCAATGGAAAAAATATCCTCGGGTGACGATTAACCACCCGCCCCCCGAAAAAAAGATCATAGATCTTAGCTATGTAGAATTCTTATAGAATGCAATATATGAGAAAGATTCCATGTTTCTTTTTTTTTTTTTATTCTCACCCGAGGACATTTTTTCCATTTTTTGTTCAGATAGAGTGGGAGGGAGAGCAAGAAAGAGAGAGAAAAACATCGATGTGAAAGGGACACATAGAGTGGTTGCCACCCACACGACCCAACAAGGGCCGGGGGATAACTGCAACTGAGGTCCGTGCCCTTAGCAGAATCCAAACCCGGGTCTCTCTGGACCACAGGCCAACACTCTAACCGCCGAGCCAAACCAGCCAGGGCAGATTCCATGTGTCATTCTCTAAAATCAAACATCCAGGCGAAGAGACATATGAAGAAATGCTCATCATCACTAATCATCAGAGAGATGCAAATTAAAATAACAATAAGGTATCACCTCACACCTGTCAGAATGGCTGCCATCAACAAATCATCAAACAAGTGTTGGTGAGGGTGTGGAGAAAAGGGGACTCTAGTACACTGCTGGTGGGAATACAGACCGGTGCAGCCACTATGGAAAACAATATGGTGTTACCTCAAAAAATTAAAAGTTGAACTTCCATTTGACCCAGTGATCCCGCTTCTAGGAATATACCCTAAGAAGCCTGAAACACCAATCAGGAAGAATATATGTACCCCCATGTTCAAAGCAGCACTATTTACAATAGCTAAGATCTGGAAACAGCCCAAGGGTCCATCAGTAGACAAATGGATAAAAAAGCAGTGGTACACATACACAGTGGAGTACTATGCAGCTGTAAGAAAGATCTCTTATCCTTTGAGACGACCTGGAGGGACCTGGAAAGTATTATCCTAAGTGAAATAAGCCAAGCAGAAAAAGACAAATACCACATGATCTCATTTATACACGGAATATAATGAACATAACAGTCTGAGGAATATGGTAGACCCAGAAACATGGAAGTAGGGCACAGACTGACATCTCTCAGAAGAGGGGGAGGGGGGGTGGGAAGAGATAAACCACAGAACTTATATGCAATGTATGCATAACCAATGGACATGGACAACAAAGCCGGGGACAGGGTGGGGAGGGGGGGTATGGGGAGGGGGGTGCCAATGGGGTAAAAAAGGAGAAACATCTGTAACAAAAAAAAATTAAAAAAGAAAAAAAAAACATCCACAATAATGGCTAGCATAAAGACAATAATATAATATAATCAATAAATATTTGTTGAGTGAATGAGATAAAACAGATGAACCAACCCAGTGAGAGGAGTAAGGTATGTATATAGCTCAATGCCAGTGGGTAATAAAGAATATAATAGAGCCCAGCTGGTGTGGCTTGGTGGTTGAGCCACATGCACCAAGAGGTCATGGATTCGACTCCTGGTCAGGGCACACACCCATGATGTGGGCCAAATCCCCAGTGAGGGGCATGCAGGAAGCAGCCAATCGATGTTCTCTCTCATCAATGTTTCTCTCTCTCTCTCTCTCTCCAGTCCTCTAATATAATAAAGAAAAAAATTTTAAATAATAGAAGTCTATTGTATTCACCAGCTGCCATGTATTTATAGATTTTTAAAAACTATCTCAGGTAGGGCAACCAAACCTCTTTGGAAAGCAAGTTTTTTTGGCTCTGTGCTTCATCCTTCTAGCCTAAAACTAAACTCAAACTTTAAATGGTATTAGTTATTATGCTTAAATTTCCTGGTCTTACTCACTAGCCCAAGAAAGTTTTCATACCCAACACCTATTCAACAAAATTGAGACATGACCATCATAAGCAGCAGCTATATATTTTTAATCTAAAGATTGGGCATACAGAAACATTTTACATAAATTCTCGAGTCTTTTTATTATAGAACAGGAAATATGGGCCCCAGAAAAAAAGTCTCTTTCCATGGGCCTTAATCCCTGATCTCTGCAGTAAAACAATCCCTGATGATCCAGCAAGTACTTGCTACCCACCCACATATTTGTTAGGACAAAAGAAAGCCACAGGCCGGTCCCATGTCTCCCTACTAAGGGGTTGCAGATTGCCTGAGAAGCAACAGTATGGCCCAATTTTTAGTACTTCTATACATGAGCCTTTTTATTCTACATTTTCGTATTAGAAGGGCAGTGGTAGCTTCTAATCTTCTACTCATAAATGTTATGTTCAAGAGGACCTTGTATTGCAATGGGCTTTATTCAATGTTGCAAAATCCCAGTGACTAAGGAAGCCATTAATTCTTTATTCTTCATTTTCATATCTCTAAGTTAGCAATAAGCTTCCCATGCTCTACTTAATCACATTTAGTTTTTAAGAATCTTCAGAAGAATAATGTACCATATATAATTAAAAAGAATGTTGCTTGATAAAGTTGAGATTGATTTCAAAATAAATCCACCCTGGTACAACCCCCTTCTTGGTGCTCTGGGGAGAAAAAGAACATTAGTATATAAAAAAGTAACCAAGCTGAAAGGAGGGAAGAGAGACAGCTTGAAGTGAAGAAATGACACAGACCCCCTACATACACACTTTAAAAACTTTATTTATATAAAAAACTCATTTGTTTTTAAAAGCATTAACAAGAGAAAGAAAAACAGAAAAGGTATGGAGCAGAAGACATGCCCCTTAGTAGTGTTCGGTGGGAAGGTGCAATTTTTGGTTCTCTGGAATTGAATGTTTAGTGTTTCTATAAATGAAAAAAAAAAAAACAACAAGACAGTTAAAGGTCCCCAAAAAGCCCATGGCTGTTCTATTACCCACACCCCACCAAGAAAAAGAGCACCAGCAAAAGAGCAGAGAGGACAAGAGAAACCAAGAGTGGGCCCGGTTCAGATAGGGGCAGTTTCCCCTGTGCAGTATGCTCTTAGGGTCAGAGAGGAAAAGGCTCCTTTTTGCCAGAAAAGGAGTGGGAAGAAATGGGAAGACAGAAAAGGGTAAATAGGAAATGTTAATGCATAGGGAAGGGGGGAGGCCAGTGGGTTGTGTACTTTTCTCTTACCCCCACAGCCTCCATATATAAGGGGAGGGGAGAGAGGAGAAGGATGAAGATTTCCAGTTTGCATTGAACAGAGCTTTTAGATTAACCGGAGGAGTCAAAGGCAAGTAAGAAAAAGGACTAAAAAAAAACAAAAAAAACCCAACCAGCACAGCAGCTGATTCCTCTAGCCCAGCCAGCTAGTATATACCAAAGTGAAAGGAGGTGTCGGGGTGGAGGGCAGGCATGACTCCCCTGCAGCCCCTTTGGAGATGATGGTACACTCTGGGCAACTAAGGAGTAAGAGTCATGCCACTCACTCCTTCTACCAACCTCATTTTGAGATTCATCAGAACAGGCCCTGGCCGGTTTGGCTCAGCGGTTAGAGCGTCGGCCTGTGGTACAGAGATTCATCAGAACAGGATTTTTGCAAACCCCATCTATACACTGTTGAGCAAAAGCATGCTATGGCTGAAATTAGAGGCTATACCAATTCCCACTGGAAAATCTGAGGGTCTCTAGGTCACCTCTCCTCTTCTTTCTGCTATTTAGGGCCAATAGTGGGTACGAATCAACAAAATATAATTTGAAAAATCATGACAAATGAGACTGCAGAGGCAAAGAAAGGCACATGGAAAGGAAGGAGGAGATGCACCCCAGGCCAAAGGCACAAAGAAGAGGCAAAGCCAGGGGCGACCCCCACCTTTTAGGGTAAAGGGGGCAGAAGTATGTACATCAAGTCCTTTAGTCAGCCAACCAATCCAGGGAGCAAGCAGGAAGGACAGGGTTATAAAGGTGGGAAATAAAGAAATAGGGCAAGGGAAAGCCAGCTTTGAACTTCCTGCCAGTTTCAGACTAACTGATTCATGTACATTCCTACCAGATCCTCCTAGAGGTTCCTTCTCCACCCCAGAAGACATCTTTCTGCTCCTTCTCACCCAAAAAGTCTTCCTTGACACATTCTCCTCTTTCTACAGCCTCTTGCAAATGGCAAAGCCAAGTCAGCAGACATTATCACAGGATGGAAGAGGAGGATTAAGGACGGCCTCAGTAAGGGGCAGTGGCAGCACCCCAGGGTTGGCATGAGGCTTGGAGAAGAGATGGGAGTCTGTGAGTCCTTGATGGTCCCTGCCCTGGAGATGAAAGCCAGGTTTCTTAACTCAGTTCTGGGAGACCTTCACTTACTCAAGGGCCCTTGCCAGATGGTATGTGCCAATTTTGCCAGCCTTCTTTGCTTCAAAAATAGTCATCAGGAATAAGGGAAGAGCTCACACTTCCCATTTAAAAAAAAAAACAAAAACACAATACCAACAAAAAGTCCCTTCCCCACCAGGAAAAAAAATCTTGATTAAGAATCATCAGTTTATCAAATTGCTGTATAATGCATATATAGCACGTGGCTTCCAATTCTTCCCACAGCGTCCAGTGAAGACTCCCACTCTCTCTCCCTCCCTCCACATAGGCCAAGAGTTCCAGGGAGAGCTGGAAGAAAGAGCTAATCTGCAGCAGTTTCTCAAGATATGCATATAACTGAGTCAGGGTTCCTGGGAGCAACTGGAGAGGATCTGGAGTAGGGAGGAGGGACAATTAAACTTCATTGGAAGAAATTAGGAGTCGATGGAAAGAAGGCAGCCACTTGGGGCTATAAGGGCAGGAGGCAGGCAGCCTGGCAGTTGGCACAATAGTCCAGCGAAGAAAGGGGAAAATCATCAGTCCACTTCACCACCAAAAAATAAAAGTACATATATTATATGCCCAGATGTAGTGGAGATCATGGTGCTAAATCTTCTGCTGTAAGGAAAAAAGAGAAAGAGGTGTTAATAGGGTTGGGAATAAGGAGATCCAGAAGACAGTTGAACAAATCTGGAGGGGAAAAAAGTAGCACATAACAGAGAATCAGTTCACCAGAGGCATGTTCCAGCCTCTTAAGAGGTAATAATCACACAACAGCACCCCAAGCACCATGTGGCTGAGACTAGTGTCTCTGGACTGATTAGATCAGCATGATTGGCAAACTGCTGGCACACAGGGGCCTCCTTCCTCAGTGATGATCTTGGGGGTGGCTGAAGGACATACCATGGTGGGGGGAGACACTTGGTCCCCCTCCTCATCCAAAACCAATACATCCAACTCTTCCTCCAGAGATTCCTGTCCCTCGTCCTGCTGTGAACACATGCAATTTGTTAGTAGGAGAGTAAGGAAATAGGAACCTTGTAAGTATGTGCCAGATCTAGGGAAATGCCCAAATTTGTAAACTCAAACAAAACAGGGTAATAGTAAGAGAAAGGAAAGATTTCGAGAAAACACAGAGATAGGAAGAGAGTCATGTGCAAGAACAGACCAGTTAGTGTCAGCCATGCCAGTAATGTGTCTGTAGTCTTCCTTTCCCCATCTCAGCTGGCCAGTGCAGCATAATGGCCCAAGAGACCCCAACAAGAGTCAAAACTCCTACATTTCCCGAAAGCCCCCACCAGAAGAGGATACCATCTCTCACTAGGTACTTTGTCCTATTTCACAAACATGCAGGCTTCAAAACAGAATCAGCCAGCCATAGAAGGACAACAGTACATAGAGAATTTACCATCAGGGGTGTTCCCTTCAATGGCTCCATTTCGCCTAGATTCCCGGATCGATCCAGTGTTCTGTTGTGGTCCCCTCTCTCATTCAGTGTGGAATAGTTGTTATCTAAAGAAAACAGCACACAGAAATATGATATCCCCTTCTAGTGTATAATATATGTTAAACAGATTAAGTGTGAGTTAGATACCTCTGTTAGGAGCTGAACTTGGCCAAATGCTCCAGAAAGGCATTATATTCTGGGGCCCTGACTTAAAGAGAACTTGAATCTAACTGGGAAGACAATGTATGTGAAATATGCAGAGCATGACATATGGAGGGGTGGGGGGCAAAGTAGGTTTACAGCTGTTCGTATGGAAAACAATACAATAATTAATAAATAATAATACAAGCCCTGCCCTGTTTGGCTCAGTGGTTCAAGCACTGGCTCACAGACCAAAGGGTCGTGGGTTTGATTCCGGTCAAAGGCACAAACTTGGGTTGCAGGTTAATCCCCATCCCGGGTCAGGCTTGTGCAGGAGACAACCAACAGATGTTTCTTTCTCTCCCCCTCCTCCTAACCTCCCTCCCTCCCTTCCACTCTCTCTAAAAATAAATGGAAAAATATCCTCAGGTGAGTATTAACAAATAAAATAAAATAAATAATACAAGAATAAACTCTGTTTTTGGGTACTCAAAACCGTGAACCTACTTTTGCCCCATCCTTTATGTTAATAAAGCTAAATGGAAGAGATTAAGAAAGGATTAAGAGAGAGATTAATAAAGGATTAAGAAAGAGTGAGGTGTGCTGCCATAGTCAGTAAGGACCTAACAAAGGAGACAGGACTTTGGCTAAGGCTTTGGGAATGAGAAGCATTTAGAAAAGCAAATGGGAAGGACATTTCAGTAAGAGGTATCACATGAGCAAAATAAAAAACTGTAGTGTGAAGAACTAGAATAGCAAATTAGACAGGTGGGCTGAAACAGAGCACATGGAGAGAAGGAGCCCAACGTCCGACTATGCACGGCTGTGAGGAACAGTTCAGAGACACAAACTTGGTTCTGTAGTAATGAGGGATGCATATGAAGTTTTTTTTTAAAGCCTTTGAGCAAGTGGGAATGTAAAAGTAGATGGATCAAGTTTCACTAAATTTCCTCACAACTTTCCAAATGGAAACGTCCAGCCAATGCTCTTCCAGAATCGTAAGTGGTTAGTGTGCTAGAAAACACTCGTAGCCAGACAGTTCTCCTCATCCCAATCAAACAATACTCCATATCCTTAGCCAGAAATTAATGACCTACCTAATGATCTTGAGTTTGATCCCATATTGCTCATCTGTATTTCTTCCCGATCAGGTTTCTTATCTACATGAAGACAGAAAGTTATCCAAGTCAAAAATCAGAGTCTTCAAAATCTATACTCATCATGAAAATTGCTCTCTAGTCTGTCCTCCTGCCCTCTCACCAAATTTTTACTGAGCACCCACTATATGTCAGGCACTAGACTAAGACCAAAAGGACTTAACGAGATCTCTTCCCAACAGACTCCTAATATAAGAAACCATTCACTTTAAGCCAGCAATTTTTAATTATTTGGTCTTAAAAATTATGAGGATCCAAAGAACTATCATTGATGTGTTTATATGTATTAATATTTACTGTACTGAGAAATTTCAAATATTTCTTTCACTTAAAAGTAACACTAAACCACCGGGCCAGTGTGGCTCAGTGGTTGAGCGTCGACCCATGCACCAAGAGGTCGCTGGTTTGATTCCCTGTCAGGGCACACGCCCAGGTTGTGGGCCCAATCCCCAGTGGGGGACATGCAAGAGGCAGCCAACCAATGTTCTCTCTCATCAATGTTTCTATCTCTCCCTCTCCCTTTGTCTCTCTCTAAAATCAATAAAGAAAAAAAATACTTTTTAATTTAAACTTATTCTATGTTAACATAAATAATAATTTTTTAAAAAGATTTTTATACCCGGCCGATGTGGCTCAGTGGTTGAGCATTGACCCATGCACCAAGAGGTCGCTGGTTCAATTCCTGGTCAGGGCACATGCTCAGGTTGTTCTCTCTCATCGATGTTTCTATCTCTCTCCCCCACTCCCTTCCTCTCTCTCTAAAAATCAATAAAGAAAAAAAAGGTTTAAAAAATTTTTTTTATAAAATAATAATTTTATTAGCATTTATACCTATACACAGTGCCTTTTTTTATTTTATATTCATATAGTTCTTTTATTTTATTTTTGTTACAGATGTTTCTCCTTTTTATTCTATTGACACCCTCCTCCCCATCCCCCATCCCCAGCTTTGTTGTCCATGTCCATTGGTTATACGTACATGCATATAAGTTCTGTGGTTTATCTCTTAAAGCCCTGGCCAGTTTGGCTCAGCGGTTTGAACCCATGGACCAGAGAGTCCCGGGTTTGGTTCCCGCTAAGGGCACGTACCTTGGTTTCAGTTTGTCCCTGGCCCCGGTTGGGATCATGTGGGTGGCGACCACTTGATGTGTCTCTCTCACATTGATGTTTCTCTCTCTCTCTTCTTCCCTCTCCTCCCTCCCATTCTATCTGAAGATGAATGCAAAAGTGTCCTCAGGTGAAGATAAAAGAAAACAAACAAAAAAAAGAGTGAGGAAGGGAAAGGGGGCAGGGGAGAAGGAGGGAGGGAGGGAAGGAGGGAGGGAGGGAGGGAGGGAGGGAGAGAGGGAGAGAGAGAGAGAGAGAGAGAGAAACATTAATCAGCTACCTCCTGCATACCCACTTACCAGGGATCAAGCCCAAAGCTCAGGCACATGCCCTGACTGGGAACTGAACCAGTAATCTTTCAGTGCATAGGACAACACCCAATCAACTGAGCCACACTATCCAGGGCATAAATAACAATTTTTTAAAAAGATTGTTTTACATTTCTGCACATCTCTAAAGTTTGGCTTAACAGAAGGAGAATTCTCGTATCTGCTTCTGCATTCAATCTGTTGTGATGTTATTTGGATTGAAGTATATGAAGAAAATCCAGCCTTACATAGATAAGAAGCTGGAAAAAGGAGAATAGTCTTTTCAGATAATTTTGGATATTCTTTGAGAGTATACTAATAATTGACAAGTAGAGTATCTTTAAGGTTAGCAGCAATGTGGTCTCTGATTCCAAACTAATGATCTCTTTATACTCTGTTAAGTTAAAGTCCATTTTTCTATCTTCTATCCTGAATGGATCAATTATCCATGCATGACTTTAAAACATCTTGTACTTGTGCCCTGGCTGGTTTTGCTCAGAGGTTAGTGTTGGCCCATGGACCTAAGGGTTTTGGGTTCAATTCTAATCAAGGGCACATATCTCGTTGTGGTTCAGTTCCTGGCCCTGGTTGGGGTCATATAAGAGGCAACCAGTCCTGGCTGGGGTCATATAAGAGGCAACCAGTTGAGGTGTCTTTCTCACATCAGAGCTCACCTCCCCCACCCCCCGCCTCTCACTCTATCTGAAGATAAATGGGAAAATATCCTTGGGTGAGGATTAAAAAAAAAAAATCAATAAAAACATTTAAAAAAAAAGAGCTCTGGCCGGTTTTACTCAGTGGTTAGAGCGTCGACCTGCGGTCCAGAGAGACCCGGGTTCGGTTCCTGCTAAGGGCATGTACCTTGGTTGCAGTTTGTCCCTGGCCCTGGTTGGTCGTGTGGGTGGCAGCCACTCGATGTGCCCCTTTCACATTGATGTTTCTCTCTCTCTCTTCCTCTCTCTCCCTCCCACTCTACCTGAACAAAAAATGGGAAAATGTCCTCCTGTGAGGATAAAAAAAAATATATATATATATGAGGGTCATAATATACACTTACGTGAAAAAGAATACTTTTTCAAAACAAAATATATGATTAACCTTTGGGAGGAAAATGTATTTGCTCACATGACAAAAGTGTTTAAAAGATATAACCCAAGCCCTGGCCAGTTTGGCTCAGTAGTTGGAGCATCGGCCTGCTGACCAATGAGTTGCAGGTTCAATTCCAGCCAAGATGTTTCTCTCTCTCTCTCCACCCACCCCCATCTGAAGATAAAAAAGATACGTATAACCCAAAATAGCAGTGGTATCTCTGGGTAACAGAAATGAGTGATTTGATGTTGTTGTTTTTCTGGTTGTCTGTATTTTCTAATTTTACAATAGTAAACATGCATTACTTGGTATTATATGGAAATACAAAATGAAAAAAATTATTTTGCAATATATACATATATCAAATCATGTTGTACGCCTTACATTTATACAATGTTATATGTCAATTACCTCTCAAATAGAGAAAATGGAAAGACTAGGGTTCAGTTTCCAATCATTTTAAGTCCATTGGCAAAGACAAGGGATCACACTTGGGCCAACTGCCTGTTTTGTTTGATTGTCTAATGCTCAGGCCTACCAACTTCTGACAATCCTGAAGAGAAGTATTATTACCCTCCACCAAAAACTGACTCAGTAAAAAATAAATATATATCCTATTTCTTAGATAGTAAGCCCACTAAAGAACAGCAGAGGAGGAATAAAAGCTGAGGGTGTGCCCCCTGGATACTGGACCTGATTTCTGGTTCCGGTCAATGAGGGGAAGAGTGCTATCATCATATGAATGACTGCTCTGGCTTCGAGAAGCATTGTTTAGATTCACCTGGAGGCAAACATAAAATGGAATAATGTCAGAGTACTGAATTTACCCACCTCTTATTCCCTAATGGGCACCAATCTTTAGGCTCCTATTCCCAAATACAACTCTTACCAAAAGTAAATAAGTAATACCTACATAGTATTAGGATATTATGGCTTCTATTTGTGTTCCCGAACAGATTACAAAGGTACCAAACACTCATACTATCAGAAAGAGACCTAGTCTCAGAAAATGTCAAACTCCATCAAAGTGCTGTTGCAGATTTGAGTTAAGTCAAAAAGGCCCCCATCCTTTGTTGCCACCAGTGTACAGTACACCATGACACAGAGGAAAACCAAGCTGTTTTGACAGCAACTGAACTGTTAGCGCCATTCACTTGTAGGGAAGAGTAAACCTAAAACTGGACTTGATGTGACTGTGAAAGAGAAGAAACCAAACACAGAAGCATTACCTGAGACCAAGAAAAAAAGGTAAATATCTCAGTCCCAAGAATTCTCTACCTGAAAGTCTGATTTCTTCCATCCTTCTTTTTCCAGTGGCTTCCGCAGTTCCTTATATCCCCAGATTGTCTGTAATACAAGTGCTGCTGCTCGAACTTCTTTTTCTGAGCGGTTCCTTTTGAGAAAAGTAACACCACATGGAATTTGGATGTCAGACCAGGGAAGAAGCTGAGAACCTGTTCTCTCTAACATAATGTAACATATGAACATAAATGCCAAAATGGGTAAGATCAAGTCCTGCATTCTATCCTAAATAGTGACGCACAAACATGTTTGATGAAAAAGTCTGTAATCAATTTATGAATCAACATTAAGAGAGAGAACAGAATAATACCTCTTCACACTTTACAAAGTAATAACCTCAGAAACAAAAAGGAAAAATAACCTTAGAAGCAAAAAGGAAAGGCTCCTTCCTAGCAACTCCCCTCTATACTTAAATTCTTCCAGTTATCATTTTACGTGTTAAGCTCACCCTGATTTGTTGATCAACACCAGCTTCTCAATACCCTGTGTCTCTCGAAGCTTTTTAGCAGCCTCCAAGTTCTCAGCAATGACCTCATTGATGGTGTTCAAAATAGAGACCACAGTGTCCTCTGAGAAATTCTGGGAAGAGCTCTGTTGCCCACCTGGCAGATTCTTTACCAAGTTAGGAATAGCATGTTTACCTGTAGCAAAGACAAAGGAATGTATGCTGGAAGAACAAGCTGAGTTAGGTTATGAGGAGCCTAACACTGTTCTTAATTGCACTCATCATATAAAGTATGGGCACTATCCCTCTGAATCTACTTCATTCGCCTACAGGATTCTCATATCAAGAAAGCAAAGAACCTGGAATAGCCAAGAATTTATTGCCCTTACTATTCCTTTATTTATTCTTTCCTTTTTTAGTCACAATGAAATAATGTGAATACTTATATCAAAAGTACTACAAAGTTCTTTCAGATATTCTAATGAAAACAGTACATTTAATATTATAATAATTCAATAAAATAAAGTCATTATGAATTAAAAAAAAAAATCTGGGCTCTGCCACTTACAGGGTATATTAACTTTGAGCAAATTACTTGATTTACCTGACCTTGAGTCTCCTTTTCCTATAAAATAATGACAATTAAATGAGAACATACAGAATTGCTTAACAAAGCCTACTAACAAAGTAAGTGCTTAAAAAAAGCCAGGTTATCACCCAGGCCAGGTGGCTCAGTTAGTAGGAGTGTTGTCCCATACACCAAAAGGTTGTAGGTTCAATTCCCAGTTGGAGAACATATAGGAGGCAACCTATCGATGTTTCTCTCTTTCTCTCGCTCTCTGTCTTTCGCTCTCTTCCTCTCTAAAATCAATAAACACACCCTCAGGTGAGGATTAAAAAATAAATAAATAACACCTATTACTGTCCTGTTTTTTCAGAGTCATCACTTCTTGTTTTTCCAAGAGCATTCAACTACAGTTGACCCGAAAAACACAAGGTTTGAACTGTGCAGATCCACTTACACGTAGATTTTTTTCAATAAATACTGTAAATGTATTTGCCATTCCTTATGATTTTCTTAATAACATTTTCTTTCTTCTAGCTTACCTTATTGTGAGAATATAGTATATAACACATATAACATACAAAACATGTGTTAATCAACTGCTTATATTATCACTAAGGCTTTCGGTCAAAAAAAGGCTATTTAGGCCCTGGCTGGTTTGTTCAGTGGTTAGAGCATTGGCCTAAAGACTGAAGGGTCTCAGGTTCGATTCCAGTCAAGGGCACATACCTGGGTTGCAGGTTCGATCCCCCACCCCAGTTGGGGTCATGGGGAGGCAACCAATTGATGTGTCTCTCACATCGATGTTTCTCTGTCTCTCTCTCTCTGGCGCCCCACCCCTATCCTCCTTCCCTCCCTTCCAATCAATGGAAAAATATCCTCTGGTGAGGATTTTAAAAAAAAAAAAGGCTATTTAGTCATCAAGTTTTTGGGGAGTCAAAAGTTATACATGGCTTTGACTGTATGGGGGTGAGTGCCCCACGCTGTTCACGGTCAACTGTATAACCCTCTCCTACCCTTGCATTCACAACTATGGAGGGCTAGGATCCTTCCTCTCAACCATTTCAATCAATAAATTATTTAGCACCTGCAGATTAAAGTACTGTATTAGATTCTGAGGTAATGGTTAACATCCTCACCGATTAATTCTTTGTTGCGAGCGTCCACAGCCAGATTTCTCAGTGCCCCAGATGCAGCTTTCACTACCCGCTCATGTTCACTGGTCAGGAGGTCAGCAATGGCAGAAAGAGCCTTCTCTTGACGCAGAGCAGAGCGGATATATCGACCATACTAGAAGCACATGGAGGTGGAACAGATTACAAATGACAGCAAACTAGTTAGCTAAGTTCTCCCACCTCCAAATCCATTTTCTAAAAGGTACTCACTGTCCAACGCCCAGCACATAAGTTCTGGATAGCTCCAGCTGAGGCTTCTAGGATGGCAGGAGTCTTGCTCTCCTTGAGGAGTGAGATGTATATCCGAACCACCTCTGGCTGAAATAAAAGCTCATAGCCTGCACAGGAAAGGACAAGAAAGCAGAAGATGCTAATCAGTAGCTACGAACCAGGCTGGAGCTGGTTGAAGTCCAGCCTTTACTCTGGATTGATAGGCTTATGCTCCTATACCATTAGGCTCCCTCACTCTACCACCCACCCAACAGCAAACCCAGGGGCTTGATTTCATGCCTCCTTAAGAATAATTAGTCTATGGTAAGAGCAGAACAGATATCAATTCATCCTATGCAATGTCTCTCTCCTCCTTCCTGGCCTCTTCTCTCCCACAGTTTACTTTGGTCTTGGTAAACCAAGCATAGGTACTCAGGGGATTCATCTGCTCATTGATAGCACTCAGGTTTATAGATTCCTCATCGCAAACAAATTATTTCTAACTTAACTAAGTCATTCTGCCCACCTTCAATGTGACTAAGTAAAAGAGTCTATCATAGATTTAACAATATCTAAAATTTTTATATCCATGGAAAGTTGGGAATTTTGGACTCACTGTATAGATGAATATAAAGATCCAAACTCCAATAGAGAGTCTTCTTAAACTTTACCTATTATAAGACCCAAGAACTACTGTGGCTACTTAGGGTACCAGAGTTTCTAGTCTAGACTACCATTAGAACCTTCTCCTATCCTCAATAATGTGAAGAGTTGCCATAACAAGCAGTGCTTTCTAAGTTACTACTATAATACTATAGTTTCCCACTACTTTCACCATCACTTTTTTTTTTTTTTTTTTAATTATGTGAGGGTTTATTTATTTATTTATTTTTGGTGGTACGTGCCCCTAGCAGGAACCAAACCTGGGACTCTCTGGTCCTCAGGCCGACGCTCAACCGCTGAGCCAAACTGGCCAAGGCATTCACCATCACTTTAAATCCATAAATCGGAGATGACAGAACAGTGAACATATTGTATAGTCTAGTATTAGGCTACCAAATATTTATCTTTGGACTATGTTTATGAGATCCTTGGAGACTGAAAAGAAAAAAATAACTTACCTCGAGCGGGACTAGTTCTTTTAGGGAAATCCACTGTGTCGTTTGCTGGGTCTTCTGTGGGTTTTTTCCCTTTAGAAATTAAAAAAAGAAGGGGAGGAGTAAAAAGTCTAAGAAAGAAAAAAGTCTACCTGGTGTATTTTAATTCTTTAATCAAAATCTTTGAATCAGATATGAATCAGGGAGCGGGGGGGATATCCGGGCCCCCAGCTTGTCCCAGCAGGGGGTTATGCAGAAACAAGGACAGAAAACAGGCAGCAAAGAGGTAAGATAAGGATAACCACAGTTGTTGCTGTTGTTCTAAGTTCTGGTAACTGGGAACTGCTGTCCAGAAATAGCATGCCATGGGCCATTAGCTCAGAAGAGTTACACTTGTTTCAATGGTCTTCCTCAACTGAATTTTCCTACATGCATCCACAGGGAAGGGTTAGGCAAGGAAATACTAGGGAAGCTAAAACCAAAACATGCAAATTAGAAGTAGATAAGCGCCTTAAAAGATTCCACTCACCTCTGGAGAACCACTCATCTTCAAGTACGTCACCCAAGGTGTAAAGCAGAGGAGAGAAATGAAGGAAGAAAAATGCAGGAGAGAGATGTCATCAGGATCATGAGCAAATAAGCAGAAAAGCAGAGAGGAAAAGAAAAACACAGGAAACACAAAGGAGGAATGGGGAGAAGGCCCCAGATTAGTTGAGTTCTCGTCCTTCACTGCCCCGATAATTGATACCTCTACCACTACCACCACCACCATACCACCACCACCATACCACCACCACCACCACAACCTTGAATGAAGCACACAACACAGGGGAGGCAGCAGCACAGCAAAAGGACATACTTGACTAGGCAAACTCCTATACCACTCAGCAAGTATTTCACACCTAAGGCTAAAAGTGTTCTCTTCTTTCCTGGTCCTACATTAAGAAGCAAGAAAGAAGAAAGTAAGACTTACCTTTGCCCTTCTTGGCCCCAAAGCAACTGGCAGCATGGGGTCCAGTATTGTTGGCAACATTGGGTGGTGCCTCTTGATAACGCTCTGCCTGCGGGATTTCCCGATGAACTTGATACGACAAGTTCCGAAGAAGACAAACACAGTTCTCCACAAGCTTGGGAACATAACAGAAAAGGCTCAGTGAGAGAAGAGAAAGCAGGTACATGTTCCTATAATTCAGATAGTAAAATACTGATCCAAAAAGCACAGTCCAATCCATCCTCTCTCACAGTGCCTCTAAGTGCCCAAGCTTTCTCAAAATCCTTATAGCCCCAGGCTAATGGAAGGTCACTACCATTTGGTAGATGACACAAAAACCTAGCGTCTTTTTCCACTCATAAGCTTTTTACTTTTTCCTACTTAATAAAATGGACAACCTTGGAAGTATGGCTAAAGAGCTTTAAGGTAGAAAGGTGAAGGAAATTCTAAAAAAAATAGTTTTTCTAAGGTGAATACCCATTTTAGGAAGTAGGGGCTGGTTTACATATCTAATGTTATTTAAAGGCCTGGGGTGATAGGTCTGCACTTCAGGTACCTCATGGTTGTTATAAATGGAATTCACTCAGCCATTAACTTACTTTGCTGTCTGAATCCTTCTGCCCAATCTCAGCCTGAACAATGAAAATGAGGGCATCCACCAAACCGTCACATTCCCGAAGTTTCCGGCGAGCTTCACTCCTCTCTGAGCTGACATTCCTAAGGGGAAAGGAAGAGGCATTGAGATGATTCGAATCCAGAAATCTTCGCCTTAAGATCCCTCAACATCTAGAAGCCTCCTCACTACCTTTTTTATTCACAATAACGAATAGTGAATACCCATAATAAGCAAGGCACTGCAACTGAAGTTGAATAAGATAGTCCCTGTTTTCAGGACATTTATAACCAGGTCAGGGGCAGGGGGTGGGGAGGGTGTAAATAAAGTATATCAACCACAATAACTTAAGATGGAACAGATACTTCTTGTGTAGAGGTACAAATAAAGAATGAAGCAGAGAATATAGGATATATAGGAGTATATCCCAAAGAGAGAAAGAACATATTATACCAATTATAGGACGTAAGAAAAAAATCAGGAAAAACTTCAAGAAATAAAGACGCTTGAGTTCAGCCTTGAAAGATAAATAAGGAGAGAAGGGCATTTCAGACAGAAAAAAACAGATCTTCCTTACCCCACCCCCACCCTTCTAGGACTCTGTATTCTTTTTGTTGTGTTGGTCACAGCCTGACCAGAAATACAGATATTGAGAGCAGGGACAAAAATTCAGAAGTAGACGTGCCTTACATGTGGTAGGTTCTGAACAAATGTTTACCAAATTAAATTAACAAAGTCAAAGAGGCACAGAAGTGAGGAGGATATGTGGAGAACAGAAGTAAATCAACATCATGGGTGTACACGGAACACAAGGAAGTAGCAACAAAGGTAGAAAGACAGGTTGGAGTCATAGCCTGCAATATAGATAGAATGGAGGCTAAATGACAGGCTAAAGAATTTAAAGTTTCTTTATAAAAAAATTTAAATTAGTCCTCAAAAACTCAATCTTCATACTCTCAAAGCCCCTGTGTTACCTAAGGCAGCCAGCTGTGTTGGTGAGCACTGACTCCCACTCAATATGGCGTGGCTTACAATCTTCATTCGGTTCCCGCTCCCAGCCAGAATGTGGAATGATCACTTCATCTGTCAAGGCATGCAGGGCATGATCCACAATCTCCATTTTGATTGAGTCATGGGATGAGAGATTCCACAGGGTTCCTGGCAGAGACAATTCGTCAGACAGCTCTTCAGTACCCAAAACATGTTTGAAGAATGCCAAAGAGAATCCCCTTTTCATTTCTCAGTCTTCCCCAATGACTAAATACCTTGTAATGAATGCTAGTCAAGCTTTTGTTTGTAACCCACAGTTAGAAACATATTTTACATTATGGCTCAATACAAACACACATATCATGAAACAGTTTAATAAAAATACTTATTTTAAGCAATGCTTTCTGAGCTATCTACACCAGTTTCTCAACCACCGTACCACTGAATTTGGGGACCAGATAATTCTTTGTTGTGGGGAGCTGTCCTGTCCATTATTAGATATTTAGTAGTATCTCTGGCCATTACTCATTAACACTCCCCACCTCCACCCCACTACCAGTTATGATAACCAAAAACATCTTCAGACATTGCAAATGTCCTCAAGGGTGCAAGATTGTCCCCAACTGAAAATCAATCATTATTGCAATTTCCTTTCTTCCTTCTTTCCTTTCTCTTGGAATGCTGATTGTGGTCCACAAAACTGTGTTCAATACACACTAACAAATCACAACCCACAATCTGAAAAACCACTCTTCTAAAGAAAAGACTACATGCCAGGAAAGTGAGTAAGGACAACCAGCTAGTTAAAAAATATTGTAAGAACATGGACAAATGGCAATGACACTCAGCTTCAATGTTTGTGTGACATCTTATGGCAGTAGTTGGTTAGAACAACAGAATGTGTCGGGAACTATTGTTAACTGGAGAACACGCATCTCAGTCAACTACTGTCAGGAAGCAAAACAGATCTAATGATACCAGTCCTTGCACATTTTTAATAGAAGCCAAGAATTTGGGAATCGTAAGTGAAATCTTCTGAATTTTAAACATTAGCAACAAATTCTTTAAAACTCTGAAAGCCCTGCATGACCCAAGCAAACTGTGAGATCAATTTAACCCTAAGGCCACCAGTTCAAAACCTTTAATTAAAAGTACTGTAAAAGGACTGAGCCCAGCCGGTGTAGCTCAGTGGTTGAGCATTGACCCATGCACCAAGAGGTCGCCAGTTCGATTATTCCCAGTCAGGGCACATGCCCAGGTTGTGGGCCTGATCCCCAGTGGGGGGCATGCTAGAGGAGGCCAGTCGATGTTCTCTCTCATCAATGTTTCTCTCTCTCTCCCTCTCCCTCCTCTCTCTAATATTAATAAAGAAAAAAAGAAAATTTTTTAAAAAGTAAAAGGACTGAAAATCCTTCTGGCTCTCAACATCTCCGAGGTAACAGTGACCCTAACCTAGCAGTTTCCCTTAGGCCTACAGCTTACCTGTAATGACTTCAGTGAGGTCCACATCACGAGCCTTTCGGAGCAATCGCACAAGGGCAGGAACACCATCACAGTTTTTTATGGCAATCTTGTTATCCTGGTCACGTCCAAAAGAGATATTCTTGAGGGCCCCACAGGCTCCAAGGTGCACTTCCTTTTTGGGGTGGTCTAACAATCCCACCAGTACTGGGATACCCTTGAGCTTCCGGACGTCAGTCTTCACCTTGTCATTGCGATAACACAAATGTTGCAAGTATGCAGCTGCATTGGACTTGACAGCATCCAGGCGGAATCCTAGCATGGCTATCACCTCCGGCAGCTCCGGTTGTCTCCAATTGGGGGGTGGGGGACCTCCCTTGCGCAGGCTATCCAAGCTTGCTAAACTTCCCCGCTCATGCTGGGCCAAAGGAGCCCAATAATACTGGTCTGATGGCACCTCTTCACCAATCATGTCTTCATAGCTCCTGCAGTGTTGGAAGAACCAAGAGGAAATAGGAATGTATCGAGCTGGTTTCCTGGAGAGCTCCCATTACTCCCTCATCTTTATGGTAGGAGTAACCCCAGTTCTAGGACACTAGATCCTAGATTTTATCTCTGTTTGCATAAATGATATGTTGATCAATTTTTCTTAATGAGATAAAGTAATAATTTTAAAGGCATCTGCACTAGATTAAAATTACTTTTTTCTGTGAAGTTTACTAGCTTGGAGGAGAGTAACAAGCATTCAGAGACATTAATCACACAAAAGAAACAAATCCTACTTAGCAATGAATGATACCTGACAGCTATTAATTTCTCTGGATAGAGACTGAAATGAACCTTCAGACAGCATAGTTAACCAAAGCAACTGACCCAATACTACAGAGAAGTCAGCAAACAATGTCTGAGAACAGTTCTTATAAGCCCATAGCTAAACAGGAAATGAGGCATTTACACACAGGAAACAGCTGGTGGGATAAGACACTTAAACTCACTTCATAGTTAAGCCTCTCCTTACCCTATTTTGGAAATTATAAAAGAGGAGACGATAGAATAAAAACAGTACAGGAATTTCTACATCATATGAGGACCTGGCTATAGAACTAATGAGGTATATGTTTGAACATTAATGTTCACAGTTCATCCCAAGGTCATCTCTACTACTCAACAAATAGGTTGGAAATATGATTTCCAGCCCCCAAGTTCTAAAGACAATACCTCCAATTCTGTCAAAACAGAGATTATTGATCACTGCTATATTTTAGATAGCCAGTCACTAAGAAAAGGAACACAGACAAAGCAATTGAAGGTAGATTATTATTCCTATTTCAGTACTACCAACAACCACTAGAGGGTGAGTCTGTCACACTATCATTTATTCATAACCACCAGGAAGGAACAGACCCCATTATCTGTGAGCTCATCTCACTCTGTGGCTCCCACAGGAGAAAGGAGAATCTATTGTGTGGAACCCTCCAAATAAGCCTGTTGTTTGTTCCATAAAACCCTCCCCCTGTCGCCGAACCCTCAAGGTTAGCCTAAGCAGAGGGCTGGCCTCATAGCTGTCAACATCAACCACTCTACAGTGATTTAGATGAACAAAGCATTTAGTAAAAAATCACCAGTTTTTAATATCACTGAAACAAAATGAAGCTTATATAGCTAAATTCTGAAATATACTAAATAGTATATTAGTAAGATTCCATTTTAGTAGAAGAAAAATGAAGTCAAGAGTCCATTTACATGCACAGGAAAAAGAACTCAAAGGAAAAATGCACTGAAGTGTTAACAGTAGTTCTTTATTAATGGATGGTATGCTTTTCTGGGTTTTTCTCATTTTAGAGTGAGCATGTTTAACTTTTATTATTATTTTATATAATCAATTACAATAACCAAGAGTTTGGTCATTCAAGAAACAGGTCCTTTAAAAAAAAAAAAAAAACAGGTTCTTAGAAGCAGTGGATCATGACATTCCTTCCTTTGTTTTACAAATAACAAAGCTGTGCCCAGAAAACTTAAATGACTTGCTGGAGCCTATACAGACAGTGTCAAAGGCACAACTAGAACTAAGATCTTCTGGTTCACTGCTTTTCCCACTAATCATTATGCTTTACTGTTTTTGTTTGACCTTGTATTACTCTCCTAGGCCCGGAACAGGAAGTTGCAAATGTTCTTTCTAGTCAAGCAGGTTTCCAAGTCCAGTGCCACCCTGGAACAAACCCAAGAACCAGGCCCAAAACTCTATGTCAACTGCCACAGCGACAGACAGCAGAGAATGATCTGGCCACCCACACCCAGTTAGGCCCAATCACTCTACTAACAAGGAAGTCAGAAAAAGCAGACTTGTCAGTAAGCAGAAGGAGCCCACACCCTGGGCAGTCTTCTTAGGTGATAGTTGTTATAGACCATTGCTCCAAGTAGTACCAGCTGAGGTCTGCTGCCTCACCCCCTATCCCTATCCTTACCCCACCCTCACACCCAAGAATATAAGGTGAGTCACATGGGAGTTGAATTAGATGTCCAAAAGTTACCTGAAAGGGGAGTGACTCAGGCTTAGATAATGGGGCCTATACTCCTGGGCCCAACCCAGTTCACTGTTAGCCAGAGCTACCTAATATGAGGAAAGTGAGCACCAAGGCATTTTTTAGAAGGTTATGACCTCATACAGAAATTCAGCAACAGCTGCTAGGCTATACTTACCATCAAGACATCCATAAATCTCCTTTACTTCTTATTTCTCTTTAACTGGAAAACATCATCTCTGATTTATTCTAAAGCAGGGCTGGCAGCTCATGGGCCAAATCTGTTTTTGTACAGCCCCAGAACTACAAATAGTTTATTTTTTTATATATATATATATATATTTTTTTTTTTTCCTTTATTGATTGATTTTTAGAGAGAGCGACAGAAACATCAATGAGAGAAATCATCAATTGGTCCCCTCCTGCATGCTCCCCAATGGGGATCAGGCCCACAACCCAGGCATGTATCGTGATCGGGAATCTAACTGGCGACCTCTTGGTGCATGGGTCAATGCTTAACCACTAAGCCACACGGGTCAGATGGTTTTTATATTTTTAAAAGGTCGTATAAAGAACACCACCACACTTTTCAGGATTTATAGTACTAATATCTATATCAAGAGCCATTGTATCGTGTGCTGGAACCAAAATCCTGACAAAAGAAGCTAGGCCACTGCTCTGGGACCAGTTTCCAAAGGAATAACAACATTTTATTGGTTAAAATGAAACAAAGACGTGAAAAAAAAAGACCACCACCACAATAATATACAACAAAAATTATAAAGGACCTACAAAGGCTAAAATAGTTCTATCTGGTCCTTTTGAGAAAAGGTTTGCCAACCCACATTCTCTCAAGGCAAACCATCTACCTACCAGTCCAAAAAGCAATCACACCTTTTTTCACATCACCAAAGAATCCCACAGGGATGAGTAGGAAAGTCAGAAGAGACAGCTGCTTTCTGACCTCTCAGAGTGTCAATAATGTACCACCCTATAAGGATGCCACTCCTGGTTTCACTTTAGAAGCAAATGCAAGAACCTAAGTGCAAAGTGTCAAGGCTTTTGTGAGATCAAGGTTTGTTTTTAACCTGAAATTAAAACCTCGACAGGAAGGGTTCTTGTATCTGTCTATTCTGACTCTGAAAGCCTAAAATCCTTAACTCTGTTCTTAATACCAAACCAGAAGCTGACGAAATTCACAGAAACAAGTGAATGACTATTCCATAGCCCAAAGTACCAAGCCCCCTGTAGTGCTCCCTATCACCAAAAGGGGGTCTGCTATTAGGCAGAAAAAACCAGAAAACTCTTGGCAAGCCAAGACCACTGTTTAGTAGAACACAGACCAATAACCATCACAAGTCATTTTCTATAATTAGAATATATGACTTCTACAATTTAAAAAAAAGACAAAAAAGCAAGTTGGTACTTAGTAAAATCAGAAAAGGAAAGAACAGGGTGAACTTCTAAAAAAAAAAAAAAAAAGGAGAGGAGGTCATAAGTGTCTTTAATCCCAAAAAAGCACTTAGAAGGAAAAGCTATCACTTTTCATATCTTGGAAAGATCTTTCTCTTGCCTACCTGAGGCGTCGGCGAGGGTCAGAGGGTGTCCCAGTCCGACGGGCAGTGCCATAATCGGACATCATGCCATAATCCAGGTCATCGTAGCCCATGCTACGTTGGTCATCTTCTAGACCATAAGGCTCTGGATGAAAGCGATGCAGATCCACACTACTCCCACCTACCCGGACCTGAGGCTGGGGCCCGTAGACATCCTGTCTACTAGGTGCTCGGTAACCTTCCATGCTTGGCCTATACCGTTCCTCAATGCGGGTCACCCTGGATAGGCTGCCATAGTTATCACTGCTACTTGGATACCCATCTTCATAGTGTCGGCTGTATCCATCAGGAGGGTAGTGGAAGTTCCTGGGAAGGGTGGCAGTGCCTGCTTGCCCCACGTAGGGACCAGGTCCCCCATTGCCATTCTTACGGAAGTCACGGCCCAGAGTCTGGATATAGTTGTTAGAAACCGATGAGGCATCCACAGGCAGCCCGTCTGGTCCCATAGGGACTGGCTGTACAGTCCGTGTTGTCACAGTCTTCACTACTTTCTTGACCTTCAAGTAAGGCAAGAGAAAATAAAAATTAATAAAGCCCTGGTCGGTGTAGCTCAGCTGGTAGGAGTGTCGTCCCGTACACTGAAAGGTTGCGGTTTCAATTCCCAGTCAGGGCACATGCCCAGGTTTCTGATTTGATCCCCAGCCCAGGTTGTGGCGTGTTTGAGAGGCAACCAATCAGTGTTCATCTTTCATATCGATGTTTCTCTCTCCCTTCTCTCTCTCTAAAAAAAAAAAAGAAAGAAAGAAAAAGTGTTCTCGGGCCCTAGCCGGTTTGGCTCAGCGGTTAGAGTGTCGGTCTGCGGTCCTGAGAGACCCAGGTTCAGTTCCCGCTAAGGGCATGTACCTCGGTTGTAGTTTGTCCCCAGCTCTGCTTGGGTCATGCGGATGGCAGCCACTCGATGTGTCCCTTTCACATTGATGTTTCTCTCTCTCTCTCCCTCCCACTCTATCTGAATAAAAAATGGAAAAATGTCCTCGGATAAGGATAAAAAAAAAAAAAATTTAAAAAAAAAAAAAAAAAGTGTTCTCGGGTGAAGGTTTAAAAAAAAAAGAAAAATTAATGAAGTATACAATATAAACTTAAATTCTAGACCACTCTAACAAAAGAAAGAAACCGCCCCAGCCAGTTTGGCTCAGCAGTTACAGAGTCAGCCCGCATACCCGAGTCGCAGGTTCGATACCGGACAAGGGCACGTACCTCGGTTGTGGTTCATCCCCAATCCTGCTAAGAGTTGGGAGAGAGGCAGCTGGTCGATGTGTCTCTCTCATGTTAATGTTTCTCTCTCTCTCTCTTTCTCTCACTCCCACTCTAAAGATAAATGGAGGAAAAAATGTCCTTGGTGAGGATTAAAAAAAAAAGAGCCCAGCCGTTGTGGCTCAGTGGTTGAGCATGGACCCATGGACCAAGAGGTCACTGGTTCAATTCCCAGTCAGGGCACATGCCCAAGGTTGCAGGCTCAATCCCCAGTAGGGGATGTATAGGAAGCAGCCAATCAATGATTCTCTCTCATCAATGTTTCTATCTCTCTCTCCCTCTACCTGCTTCTCTAAAAAAAATCAATAAAACATCTTTTAAAAGAAAAGAAAGAAACCCCTACCTCCAGTTCACTTTACACAGAAATATCTTACAATCTATCATTTACCTTTCTCTCCACCTTATAGGAAGTCCCCAGATAGGCCAACTGACCTTGCAGTAAATATGCCTATAAGGAAAGCTACTATAGACCTTGATATACCTTCTCTTTTCTGCATTCTAATACATCTTCCCATATCTCTTCTATCTTCTCTGTCTGGACAAAGATTACTTTCTTTATGCTCTCACTATAGATCAGTGGCCCTTCATCCACCTTAAGTGCTTAACTCCCTCCCCTAACAGAAACCATAGGAAAACCTCCTCCATCATCCCAGACCTTATACAAAGCTTACTGTGGTCTCTGTGCGGCGAGTGGTTCCATCATCCGAGGTCTCCACAGAGACAACAGACATGGCTCCCTCAGGGTCTTCCTCGGTGTAGGTCTCTACAATCTGCCCTGGCTCTTGCATCCTGGGGATGGTGCTATAGAGAAGGTGACTGTGATCCTATATGGAAAAGAGAAAAAAGAAAAGAGTTAATATTAAGCCATATATAGTAACAATCTATCCCAATGAGGAACACTATCACTCTAAAGACAGAGACTCCTCATGCGTCTTCTATGGACCCCAGGATTTTAGAGGGGTGGCTGTCCCCATATTTTTAACTTATGTAAAAAGGCAGAAGATACAATTTCCCAGTTCTAATAAATATGAACTGAGTTAACTATACCTCTGTCAGCAACCAAGTGACAGAGACAGCAGATTTAACTTCCCGTTTCTGGTCATTTAAGTGAATATGAACTGTGTTAAGTGCAGCTACATCTACATCTGAGTGATCCTTCAAAAAAGTTTACCCTGCCCTGGCCGGTTTGGCTCAGCGGTTAGAGCATCGACCTGCGGTCCCGAGAGGCCCGGATTCGGTTCCCGCTAAGGGCATGTACCTTGGTTGCAGTTTGTCCCCGGCCCTGGTTGGTCGTGCAGGTGGCAGTCACTGGATATGTCCCTTTCACATCTATGTTTCTCTCTATCTTCCTCTCTCTCTCCCTCCCACTCTACCTGAACAAAAAAATGAAAAAAATGTCCTCGGGTGAGGATAAAAAAAAAGTTTACCCAAAAAAAGAACTTTTAAGATGAATCAGAAAATCCCAATAAGCCATCTTCTGACTAGTTCTGTGTTATCCTTCAGGTTCTGCCCAAGGCTTAAGACCAGCCTGATTTTAGGTAGGATTTTCTACCAAGTAGACACACATCCATTCTGGAAAGGGAATACAGTAACTGAGGGTTCAAATACTGGATCAATATTCATTCCAAAATAAAAACTATATATATTCTTTGAAGCTCCACTCTTATATTTTCCTAAATAAAAGAAACTAATTATTGGGTACTTACAATGTGCCAGACACTTTACAAGACACCAATATGCTCCTGTAGGCTGGGGAAGTATGAAGATATGCATGATGCAACCCAGATCTGAAGCCAAAAGACTTACCTGGGGTCCGTTGAGTTTCAGATCTGAAAACTTCTGTCGCTCAAGGTCAGCATCGCCCACAAACCGGCCGTTCTGAAACATAGCCCACAAGAAGACAATTCATTTTGTGGCCTTCCTTTGCTCTAGCAAACATAAATGATCTTTTTTTCCAAACAGGAAAAGGGCTTTCAAGAAGATATTTGTGGCCTGGAGTCCCTCTGTCAGTACTCATAAAAGAACCACATCACTCCTTAGTCTTAGCACTTTATCAAAACTGGAATCGGACCTGGAACTCTGGCAGACTGGTCTCTGGAACATAAGAATACAAGCTCCATGAGGGCAGGTGGTTTTTGGTGGAGCAGTCAGTTTGTTCAATGATATATCCTCTTGTAGCATGAACAGTGCCTGGCACATAATAGGCACTCAAAAACAACTTGCCGAGTAAATAGCAAGGATAAGTTCCCCAGCACACAATCTTTTTGGAAAGCCATAAGAACATAAGGAAAGTTGGAAAGGCTGGGTTGGGGAGTTTCCAAAAGCCTTCTTTATTGTTCCACACATCTTCATGCTCTACTACCACTGGAAACTCCCATACCAGGCAGCTTTTTAAAGAAAAAAGCAAGAGCTATGAGTCTCCCTTTCCAAGTAGGAAGAAAATAAGTACCCCCAACTCCCTTCAAGCAAACAGATGTCTCAGCATCTTCATCATCACTTATTAAAGCCACAGAACACAATAAAAAATGTCACCCTGACGTTGTTCTGTCTTAAACAGTGGGATATATACTAAAGACAGTATACTACATAAAAATACATATGACTGCTCCTCTTCCAATAGAATACAGTGAGATCCAGCCACCTTGGGAGACTCCTCCCCAACCCTACTCCCATTGCATAGAGAGTGTAATGCTGCAGGGAGAGGAAGTTAAACATTATTTTCAGGAAGAAGGAAGGGTGTGGTTTCACTGCTGAGCAGAAGTTAAAAATAAAAGAGAGAGACCATGTAGTTATCAATCCTGGAATTCCCCACCTCCTCCAAGCCTGAGCAATCTTGATCTCCCCTTTCAATATATACCTCTCTCTCATCCCTAACCCACCATTCTGGTTTCTATAAAAATCCTAGGAACATTGCAAACACACTGCCTCCAAATTCCTAATCATCCCCCAAATGGAATTCTGTCCTCTCACCGAACAGGTTCCTCAGCATGAGGGACAGTCTCTGTCTTAAAAGTAATTAAGAAATCAGTAAAAAGGGCTACTGAAGCATGAGCACTGTTCTTAGTTCCCACCAGAGATCTCTTATAATGCAGTCTATCAGGCAATACTTAGAGGGAGATTACATACACACACACACACACACACACACACACACACACAAAACCTCAGACAGATTACATCATAGCAAAATCAGACTAGAGAAACCATAGGAAACACAAGATACTTCTTATTTCTAACACCAATTCTCCCAAGTCACATCACAGAGTCAGCCAACCCAGAGACCACTGGCTCCTGTGGTTATTTGGGTTAAATAGCAGGGCGATGCTCCCTCTCCAACTCTAACCAACAGAATTAACAATTACCTCCCCTTCCTCCAAGACATGATTTGTACAGCCAACTAAAAGAGTACACAAGAACAATATGGAGGAAGAACCCACAATCTATGGACACCGCCACACATCCTGAGTACAGGCTGTTCCCTGAAGGAAACTGAACTGGAGTTGAGAGTACAAGGTGCCCACCTTCCTCAACCACAAGCAGGCATTTGCTTTGCTGAATTTCTGATACCGGGGGAAAAAAATCAGAGAAAACAAGAGTAACTTGAGTACAGCTTCAAACTATATGATTTACCATTACTAGAATTGTGTACCAACCCAGAAATCCCACTACAGCAAAACAGGAAGTCAGATGGATGCTTCTAGAGACAAGTCCACCCAACCCAGCACAGTGACAACATTCCCTCTTAATCAGTATTTATTACCCTTGTAAACTTTCATCATAAAGCATGGGTTCTGGAAAGCCCATCACCATGAGGATAGTAGTTTCCCAAGAAGAATCATAGCCTCTCTATGACCATGCCAAAGTCCTACCTGCAGGTCTGATGGAGAGAGGGGTTACCTGATGCCGGCGGGTGAGGGTGCCGTTGGCCATGAGTGGGTTGGCATCTTGTGGTGAGACCCGGACGCGTTCCAGTTGCGCCGAGACGTGGCGCCGTTCCTCCTCCAGCGCCCGGGTCAGCTTCTCAAACTGGGCCTCTTGTTCCTTCACAGAGGCCAAGATGCTGGCGGTCGACTCCACCTCTGAGTCGTCCATGAAGGTAAGGGGCAGAGTCGCCGCAGGGCAGGGTAAAAAGGAAGGTGGCTCACAGAGGAAGGAGGAAGGAGGGAGAAGGCCCCCCTCACTTCACACTACCGGGAGAAGGTAAGAGAGAGGAGAGAAAAGATCACAGGTCAGAGAAGACAGATGAATTATTCATTCCAGGGCCAAAGATGGCCTCTTGTGGTTTTATTGCGGTGCAGAAAGCAAGCCACCACCAAGCCTGAGAACCCATCACCAATATTTGCTCAAGCAGGGTCCTTTGCCCATTATCCTCTTTAACACTCCTCCAAAAATAACTACTGAAAGGAAAGGTACAACTAGATTCAAGTCTCTACACTGCAGGTAGGAGAGGAAGAATGTGGCTAAGGGCTGCAGTCATGACATGAGATTAAAATTCTTTTTCCCTGGAAAATTTTGCTGGCATCAACTTGATCAGAGTAGTACAAACAAGCCCTTACTATCCTGCAGGGGCAAGCCACTTCTAAAGATAAAGGGACAGTTATAGACCTTACTTAACATCTGTCCCAAATCTGAACACTAAAAGTGTTCAACTAGTGGCAAAACATGCTAAATTAATATGCTAATTAAAATACCAATAGAAGTGGTAGTAGTAAAAAAAAACTTCCTACCAAAAAAGGCAGGAAACAAAATTATGGCCCTCATATTTAACATATTTATGAGGGGGTCTTTCCACTTCTCAAAACTATACTACAGTATTGGGGAATAAAATGTGTGCCTTGGCTAAAGAGATAAGGAAGCAAGAGAGCCACACCAAAAGAAAAACCCTCTATGGGTAAAAAGGTACAATTTTCAGTGTCCCTCAGTTCTTTGTGGAATATGAAAAGAAACATTAGATTCAAACTATGAAACTGTCCCTCAGAGTAGTTCATATTGTAACCTCCAATCAATCCCTAGAATTTCCTACACCTCTGTTATCCTGCAGAAGCCCTAAACCAACTATATTTTTACCTCTTATTCTAACTTGGGGTAATATCAAAATACCTACAAGGTTTATATGCACTACTAATACAATAAATGACAGTTAAATAGAAATGAAGAGCTCCCCATATCATTATTATATAAACTGCAAGTTGGCTAATAAAGGGGAGGGTCATTGTAGTCACACTGTTAGATTTAATGGGGTTTCTCTCTTGAATACCAGCTATGGCTGACTTTATGGCCAGTTCAAAATATATCAAGCTGAAAGGCAGGTTTTAGAATAAACCCTCTCCCTTATCCCCCACCCTCTCATCAACCCCTCAAGAAAAAAGACACTTAGTTTTTTTATTCTTAATAAACATATTTCCATACACACCTGTTAAGAGAAGGTCGTAATTGATTGTTTTAACACAGAGAACAGCCCAGTCTAGATTCGAAAAGTCATGGGAGAAGCATCCCAGCCACCACCACAGCAAGGAGGAAGCAGGAAGGAGAGAGCTGCAGAAATATTTGGACGAAAAATGGAAATGAGAGAAAAAATAAATATACCCAATACATTAAAAAATAAGAAGAGTGAGGGCAGGTATTGGGAGAAAGACAATCTGGGAATGGAAGGGAATAACTGAAAATATGATTTGGAATTGCTTAATATGACAAATGTCCTTTGGACTTTGCTCTGTTTTCAGATACCTGGTCCTTGAATGCAGCTTTCATTAAAACCTGGATTCTACTGTCATATCAGAGGTTATTCTACTTGTACTTATATACAGAACCAGGAGCAGGTTATAATATGAATAGAAATACTGTTACCCCCTGTTCTCAGCAACCAAATTGGAAAGAGGGAAAAAATGCTGTTGGAACGCCCTTCCCCCTCCTTTCCACCCCTAAGGCAGAAACCTCAAAGCCCAGTCCCAGCATGCCCACAAAGATATTGAGAAACCAGTGCAATAGTGTAGTGGGGAAGACATGTGGAGACTAGCCTAGGCTTTGCTTCAGTTCCCTTTCCCACGCTCCCCAGAGCCCCACCAAGCACATTTGGGCCTCTTTGCCTTAGAATACAGGCATACCTCCGAGATACTGTGGTTCAGTTCCAGATCACTGCAATAAAGCAAGTTGTAATCTTTTTGCTGGTTGAGGGTCTTGCCTTCAATTTGTGAAAAAACACATCTGTGAAGTGCAATAAAATGAGGTATACCTGTATATGGAGCATTCGGCAAACAAGAGTATCCAGAGTGATAAATGGGTGCCCAATAAACTCCCTAATTAATTTTCCATCACTAAGACTCTTTCCAGTGGATCCAGTCCTTAAATCCAAGTATGTGGTAGCCCTTTTCTAAATTCCCCTTACCTCCAGCTCTGCGCTCCCACAATCACTTATCACTCCTGTCCTTCCTTTCAGTCCAAAGCCCATTGTTACTTTCTCATATTCCCACCCTACATCCCAACAGGATACTCAAATGTCTTTACTAAGCATCCTTATTTTTTTCTAATTTTGCTCCTGTTTCATCTTCATTTCTTCATGTTAAGCCCTTGCCATATATCCACTATGTACAATGACCTATGAACCTTCCACACCAAGAAGACTCTGAGTTCAGAGTTCAGGAGAGATTCATTCTTCCAGTTCTGGTTTTCAACAGGGCCTGTACTGCAGTTACCACTCTGGTAGCCTCCACCCTGTAATTTTCTTTGCTAATAAAAGCTCAAACTACCACTACTATGGGGCATACAGTGACAACACTCCCCGCTGCACCGAGAAATCATCTGTCACCCCGCCATAAATGGCCACTTTTTGCCCTCACAACTTGAACTCAATAAAGAGTTAGGAAAAATAGTAGGAAAACTATCCAGGACTCTAGGTCAGGAAGCAGTCTCTTTTCCTATCTTCATGGCTTTAAAAGCTGACCACTTGGTTCTTATTTGGAGAAGATGACAGCACAGTTAAGTAGAAAGAGATCAGATTCCTAGGTCAAAAACATGGGAAGATTTTCTGCCTGGAAGAGGGTAGAAGCAGAGGCTATGTAGGAAAAGAATAGGACTCAAAAATCTGGTCCCAGTGCTGGCTCTGCCACTGGCCAACAATGGCAGTAAGTCACTGCCATGTTCTCATCCATAAGATGCCAATACCACCAGCCCAGTCTAACTCAGAGTTGTTGTAAGGATCAGATGAGATAATGAGTGTTATACAAATATGAGATATTAAGTTATTTCAAGAAGTAGTTTCTATCTTCCAATTACATTACTTAATGGTAATGCCTCAGCCCAAAACTATTTTGTGAACTAGTAGAAGAAATTAACTGAATCAAGAGCATAACTGGGTTCTAAGGAGTGGATGAGCTGGTTTCCCTACTCCAACTCTATTTACCAGGAGGTCCCACCTAGACCAGTGTTTCTGGGACATAGGGTGCTTCTCTAGGGCCTGGCAGTCATCATCATTTACACTTTTACTGTAAGTTCTTGAATTCTTATTTGAGGCCTTTGCAGTTTATTACCAAGGAGAAAGTTAAGGTGCAAAGAATTAACAATGACTGAATGTTTATTTTCCTGGCAATCCTTACAACAACCCTAATGAAGTTTTATTGCAAATGAGAAAACAGGTTGTAGGTGAAGAAATTACCCAAGGTCTCAGTAATAAGCAATTTTTTAATTTAATCCCAGATCTATTATATTGCACAGTCTGTGTTCTCTTTCTACTGCATGCTGTCAAGTCCAAAAAACATAAGTCCAGCATAAGATGGACAGTCCAGCCCCTCTCCCCTACAACCCTTGAGAGGATTTTCTACCAACATCACAGAAAAAATAGAAAAGGCTTCCACTTATCTTCAGATTAAAGAATCATCCACATGTCTACATAAAAGATATAAGTGTGAGAATGAAAATAAATGGGGGAAAAAGAAAGCATACTTGGGGGAAGAGAATGAAGGAATTAGGCAAGATATAAGTAACTCATAGCTCAGAGACTTAAGGAAAGATTCTTCTCCATGTCATATACATCAAATATATATGCTATAGCTAGATACAGATATATACTATAGAACAACATTTGCAAACCATTACCTGACTTTGGTAGTCAGAGGTTAGAGTGAGGAAGGTCTTATGAATCCAGACCAACACACCACTTTCCAGGTTTGCCACTTAATATTTTCAAGTAGATTATTCTTGCTCTCACTAAAAAAAAAAAAACCCCACCAAGGTTAACTCCCATAGTGAAGGGGGACAGGGCACATAAAGTGAAGCTTGCTATTCCTTTAAGACTACATTTTCTGAGAATAACTGGTTTTATTCTTAACAAGTCATAGGTCCTATGAGGCTCCAGCATTTAAGCAATGACAATAGTAAAAATTCAGTCCCTTCTATAAGAATTCCAAACCAAAAATAGTTCAAGTACCCAGATAGACCAAACAGTTGGACAATGCCAATCAGGTAGCAGAGAAAAAAAAAAAAATTACTTGCCAGTAGCACCGTCCCTGTAATAATTTGTTCTACTATAAACTGGCTGTAGAAATGTCATTTGGAATTACAGTTCTTAGCAATTAAGAATATAGACTTTGGCCTGGCCAATGTGGCTCAGTAGATTGAGTGTCATCCCATGGACTGAGAGGTCTTGGCTCCATTTCCGGTCAAGGCACATGCCTAGGTTGTGGGCTTAATCCCCAGTGGGGGGCATGTAGGAGACAGCCAATTGATATCTTTCTCTCCCTTCCTCTCTCTCTTAAAAAAAAAATCAATAAAAACATATAAAAAAGAAAACATATGGACTTTGGAATCAAACTGACTGGGTTCAAACCCCAGCTCCATTGCTTTTTAGTTATATGACTTTGGGCAAAGTACCACAATCTAAGCTTCAGGTTTCTTTTTTTGTAAAATGAGAGAAATATAACACATAGGGTAGTTGTAAAAATTAAATGCGACAATCCATATAAAGTACGAAGAAAAATGTCCTGACACACAGAAAGCTATTAGTGTTGTTACTAATACAAACAGTACTATGAATAGCAACACAAGGGACTCAAGTTTTGGTGGTGTTGGTAGGGCTTTTGAATAAACAACACATCTCCACATGCTCCACTCTCCCATCTACAGTAGTCCTGTAAACTGCAGGAATTCTTTTTTTTTTTTAATTTTTTTTCCCTTTATTGATTTTATTTATTTATTTATTTAATCCTCTCCCGAGGATATTTTTTCATTTTTTGTTCAGATACAGTGGGAAGGAGAGAGAGGAAGAGAGAGAGAGAGAAACATCGACGTGAAAGGGACACATCGAGTGGCTGCCATCCGCACGACCCAACCAGGGCCAGGGACAAACTGCAACCGAGGTACATGCCTCTTAGCGGGAACCAAACCCAGGTCTCTCTGGACTGCAGGTTCACACTCTAACCACTGAGCCAAACCGGCCAGGGTTCCTTTATTGATTTTAGAGAGAGGAAGTGAGAGGGAGAGAAAGATAGAAACATCGATGAGATAGAACATCAACTGGCCACCTCCTGCATGCCCCTCACTGGGGATCAGGCCCACAACCTGGGCATGTGTCCTGACCGGGAATCAAACCAGTGACCTCTTGGTGCATGGGTCGATGCTCAACCACTGAGCCATACTGGCCGAACTGCAGGAATTCTTTATACTCTCAAAGGGAAAAACAAGCCCTGGCCGGTTTGGCTCAGCGGTTAGAGCATCGGCCCTTGGACCAATGAGTCACGGGTTCAATTCTGGTCAAGGGCAGCTACCTCAGTTTCGGTTTGTCCCCAGCCTGGTGGGGTCGTGCAGGAGGCAACCAGTCAATGTGGCTCTATTACATCAATGTATGTTTCTCTCTCTCTCTCCCCCTCCTTCCCTCCCTATCTGATAATAAATAGAAAAATATTCTCAGGTGAGGAATTTAAAAAAAAATGCAAAGGGCCCTGGCCGGCTTGGCTCGGCAGTTAGAGCATCGGCCTGCGGTCCAGAGAGACCCAGGTTTGGTTCCCGCTAAGGGCATGTACCTCAGTTGCAGTTTGTCCCCGGCCCAGGCTGGTCGTGTGGGTGGCAGCCACTCGATGTGTCCCTTTCACGTCAATATTTCTCTCTCTCTCTCTTCCTCTCTCCCCCTCCCACTCTATCTGAACAAAAAGTGGAAAAATATCCTCGGGTGAGGATAAAAAAAATGCAAAGGGAAAAACAAAATCAAACTCCAGACTAAGGGGTCAAAAGACCTGAGTTCAAGTATTGACTCTGCCAAAAATTAGCTGTGAGAACACAGAGAAGTTATAACTCCTGTAAGCTTCCATTTCTATTACTTTCCAGAGTTGAGGTTTACATATAAAGCCAGAGTTGAGGCTAATACATATAACACTTTAGGCTGGATGACTCTGAACCTCTCTGTACCGCCATACAATTCAGATAAGTATATCCAAAGACATGACCAGAATTAGGCAAGCAAGCCACTGAGAAAAGAGGAAAAATTATTTGTCCTGAGAATTCTAAACCCCACAAAATAGTCTTTGGGTTCTTAGGCAAGAAATGTT